ACACACACACACACACACACACACACACACACACACACACACACACACACAGCAACACGCAAAGATATACATACACACTTTTACGTACATGTGTACATGCTACATAAATGTATAATAATGTTTCTTGTGAACGGTGTAAAAAACTAAATTTATTTGGCACGGTATTATTTTTCCGGAAATTAGAAACTATATAGAACTAAAATATAATATAGCGAAATGCTAAAGACTCTTACTTACTTCTTTTCCATAATACTCCCCTCTATACAGTTGGGCATCGCCACAGGAGGACATATGGGTACACACTCGTGGGTGTAACACGGGCCACCAGTGTTGCTGTGGGAAGAATGTAGCTGTATTTTAGACCAGGGATCATCACAACCTTCTTTAGAGTGGACCAGATTGCTGGGTGAATGCTGAGAGAAGCTCGGGTGACTATATTATAGTTCAATAAATACAAAACACACGACACCTTAATATAGAGAACCAGTTTATTCATTTATCAGTACACGAAATGATACAAAGATACACAACTAATATATAAATACAACACACATAACATATCAGCTGACCAGAACAAAATTCGTTCATAGGAATTATTGTTTATCGCTCAACTGATATCAAGAGTGACCGAAAGCTAGAACATTCATTTTTTGTGTGGGGGGTGTATTAAATTAATTGCCGTTGCATAACGGAAAGGTGATAAAGCAGTTCGCTTAGACGTATCAGCAAACAAAATTCGCCCAAATCAACCTGAGCATTATTTGCTCAGTACTACAGGATGGATATCTGTAACAAACATAGCTTTTCAAGCGAAATGCTCATTTTGTAATGGGCAGCAACTTTTGAAAGGTTTTGGTCCATAGAAAATAAGAGCTAGAATTCTAAGCCCTAAGAAACACACGGTGGGCAACATGTAAAGACAACGCACTCTTACAAAGGTTAAGGTGGTCCGCGATTCAGTGAACTCAAACCAATACCTTGTCATCTTATCAGAGTTCTGGGGGGGATCTTGGGACAACATGTTGAAGATGAAGGGAGACAGAAGCAGCAGTTCCAGCATGATGTGACTGCTCGCCATGACGCCAGAGCTGTTCTGGGCTGGGTCAAACAACCACTTTGGTTACAGAACAGTCAGTCTGACTGAGCACAACTGGACTCCAACCGATCTGGACCTTAATCCACCTGACGTTCACCATTGGTGGTGTTTGTTGAAGGACCAGATGTGTGAGAAAATGTTTGAAGGTATCTAAGGCTTAAGAGCAACGATCCAGAAGGGCACGAAACAGACTTCTCCCTAGCAGTGTCAACGGATGATTGTCAATTTCCCTCAGCGTGTGATTTTCTCGAAATTTGGGGTATCCGGAAGATTTCTTGTATCTTTGTTTGCGGCAGTCATATTATTGTTTTAAATATATAATAAATCCGGATGAACGTTCCCCGTTTCCGCAAACATTGGTGCTTGTACCTTTATTCATAACGGTTTTATCGGCCGTCTTTTGGAACTTTTTTCTGGTCACCAGGGTATATTACGTATCATTGAAGTTTCGTGCGAAAGCGATCTGGTATGATCAGGCGAGCGGTGAGAGATACCATGATAAATGAAATGTTTGTCACAATAAATTCGATAAGTGTGAGATACATTAGCCAAACATTGAGAAGCCTGAGTAAGCCCGTTTAATTTGCACTTGGAGTTAAGTGGATGAATGATTAAATAAGTATTTTGTTGACCAAGTCCTGACTACGTTAAAAACATGCCAGTAGAATACGGCTCCCACAATTTGCTACCTTAGAAATACAAAGTTTTATCTGCTCAGTACCTAGTTTTGAGAATTTTGACGTAGATATGTTTTACTTGCACAAGTCAAGCTTTTTATAATGTAATTCTTTTAAAAATTCTAGAACGACTTTGAATAATGTTACGATTGTGATACAGCAGATAGAACTTTTTTTCTGACCTCATGATCTAAGTATCTCAAAACGGGAAAACAAATAGTCAAATACATCTTTGTAATTCTGAGGTAGCGACTTACATATCTTCTTTTTATTTTGTTTGATTTGGGTAACGTTGTTGATTATCTTCATTGTATTTCTACTGGAAGGGAACTACGTAAAGCAAATAGGGTCCCACAAAACACAGAGATTACAGGGATACATACATATGTGTCAGGACGTGGTGGAATCAGGCGCTCGTCAGTTTTGGGGCATATGGATTTATTGGTATCCTCTTAAAGCCTGTCCATTTCTTTTGCTTTTGGTGAAAGAAATATCTATTTATCTCGGATACAAGTCAGGATATTTGCGATTAAAAGAGGTGGGGGTCACCTGGTATCGGAGGTAAAATAAGGGAGAAAATGTCCGCCAAAGCTGGGTACCATATAATGCTTGAGAGTCCTTGGAAACTGAAAATTTACTTTGTTTGTGCCTTCAATCAACTTTTTCAGTAAAGTCCACACAGGATTTAATATGTATTTAAATTGACATAAAAGCTGTTTTGCTGAAAAACAAAACTTTGAAGAAAAAAATGCCAAACAGGTAGAAAAGCGCCCGTATCTTCGATTTCATTACTTGACGAGCAGCTGATTTTATCAGTATGCGTCTTATATACTTACAATGTTTCCATTGATGTTCCCGGAGGACAAGTTGGGACAGGGGGACATGGAAGACCGGTAGAAGGCATGAAGTTTGGATCCTGAAACAAAACGTGAAAAGCAATGGCGATGAAGTTGGCGTTCTCTTTGTTTCGACAAACAAGAGATATTAATACTATTTCCTAGTGTACAACTTTCATCGTTAAGGCTCGCAGAAAGGTGAACTTTAAATGAACTTACTCGTCCACATACAAACGGACACACACACACAAACACACACACACATACACACGCATATGCACACACACAATAGATATGTCAATCCCCCCCCAAACACACACACACACACACACA